TTGTATGGAGATAAATTAACAATGAAGGTCATGGTTCTCAAAAATAATTCGTTAAATAGAAAATTTCGTTAAATAGAAGTTCGTTATATGGAAGTTCCACTGTATTATTATAGTATAATTATAAAGTTCTATTGGTAAGACCTACTTTTTTTTTATACTTGGAGAGCGACTTACTCACTATCACGTAATTCCAGCAAAAGTGATAAATAACTTTACTCTGGAGCGTACCTAAGGGAAGGAGGTCTGGGTTTGGACCTCCCCCCCATGGATTGACAAAATTTAAAATGTATAAGGTGTAAACCTCTGATTGTATAATCATTTTACACGTTAAAAAAATTTTGACCCCCTCTTTGAAAAATTCCTGGGAACGCCCCAGGCTGGAATGACAGATTTGTTCTATAAGAGAAAATGTATCTTTGATTCTAAATTTGTAATTCATATTTTGTGTTTGTTTTTCAATAAATTAGTTCAGATAAAAAATATTAAAAAATTAAACATTACATTACTTAGAAAATAGAAATATCTTATACTGAAATAATATACTATAGCAAAAATTGTATTCTTTTAGATTATAAATCAAAAAACATTTTTTATAAGATTACGAAAATATGAAAAACAATAATTTTTAATAAATCTGCTATAAAAATATACCCCGACAGTGCCAAAATCACCCAATCCAGAAAATCTCTGTGATGATTTTCTAGGATTAGTTCGATCTACAATAATAATATAATATTGTTATTATAGTTACCGTTTATTATCTTTGAAATGAAGTGGAAATAATGAAACAACATTTCATATTTTAGTCTTCGTGTAATAATGTAGACATTTCACGTGTACACGCCAGCAGTTTACTCACACGTTAATGTGAATGTCTGTACACCTCTGTGTTGAAAAGACGACTGGTTCGGTGGACGTGAAACATATTGACTGCAGGGTATTAAGAATTTGGTGACCAAATTGTTTTGGGAACTATTATACGGACAAAAGAATGTTGATAGGCCTATGGCCGCAATGCCAACTACCTGTTCATAATATATTTTATGTGAAGGGTTCGAGTTAAATGTACAGCGGGGGTTGTTGTATTCAAAACATGTATGTGTGTCTATGTCCTGCCCCACACGAAATCAAACAATACAAAGATCATTTAAGTGGAACCGGTCATCGTAGAAGGAAAAAAATAATAAACCTATATTAAGTGTCCCTGCGATGTAAAAAAAAATAACATGTGTTTTATATACTCGACCACTCAAATATTAAGGAAAAACACAGAAATAATTCAAAGTCAACTTCTTTTACGTAAGTGCCAAAAGGGACTAGTATAATATACAAATATATAATTCATATACTCTTGTTTAAACATAGGAATAAACAACGAGCGACATGAGAAGTTTCCCGAGCCGCAGTGATAAATGCATTGAGAATAAAAGCGGTAGATTATACTGCCATCTTCTCAAATGAAATTATTTTTTAATTAATGTCTATTATAAAAATGAACGCATCGTTATTCGATGAAATTATGGGTGTCGAGTTTACTATTAAATAACAATAGATATAATTTTGTAAGAGACTATAATATAATCTATGAACTTTCGGTATGTTAGTTAAAATTATAGAAGAGTATTTCAATATACATAATATTTGTATTATTCATAAAAGTATTGTTTTCAACTATATCTTATTTGCATGGGCATATTCAATGTGGGATGTAGGGGATGGATCCTCTTCACGTGACCTTTTTTTTAGATAATAAAATATCAGGGTAATCGGTAAAAACGACATGGAAGAAAACCGGCGCAACCCATTTGCGTTCGAACCCATTTATCGTAGTCCATATGCACCCGATTCAGATCAGGTGAAAATCCAGCAACATTGCCACTTATTGAATATATTGGCGCGTAACTATAAAATCTAAAATAATATTTGATCGTTTTACATGCTAATCTAAAACCTTGTTTAGTTTTTCGTTATTTTAAATACCACGTGAGTAGAACCTTGTTTCTAATGATACACGTATACAATAAACATGTATCTAGCGTATGTTACATGGTGTTAGGTATAGTTGTTAATTATTTCAGTAATAATGTGTACCTAATATTTTCATATAATTTAATATTTTAATATATTGATGAATCTCAATCCGTTCTTATGCTATATAAGTAGGTAAGCTTAAAAATTCCTATAATCAAAATTTGAATATATTATGTAGTTTATACATAATATATAAAAATGCATTGATCATGTCTTAAAACTTCACCATGCAACTCGTAGTATTCGACATTATTATATACTGGGTGGCCGAATAGATTGTACATTTTTATATGGTCAAATTTATATGATTGTATCATATTTTTAAATAATGATCAAATCCGAAGGGTGAAGGCACTGGAATTTTAGTGTTGGTCATATTCGAATGTATACGCGCGGATAGTTATAGTTATTGTGGCGTGTAGTTATAACTTACTGTGTTTGATCAACCCTGATGCCCAAATTCTTGGAACATAAATTCTTAGGTCTTCTAAGCGTTCTACGTCGTTTCTTTTCTTTATTAGAAACATGTGTTGTATATAATAAAATATAATACTCCAATGGTTTATCGATGTCTTTTGTCGTTGACCATCATAAGGGTGGTGTGAGGGTCACACCGGCTACGTCTCATTGTTGGTGTGTTACAATAGTTAGGTAGAAGCGACGCTGTGACGCCAAATTATTTTGGCCACTGGGATCTGCGATCTTCGTATTTTGGAGTGAACGTTTTATAAGATTTTTTTTTTTATATTATCCAACCTACAGATGTAGTACATTTATGTAGATGGTATACAATATAAATTATGAAAATAGTTCACATCAGATCCTCCTCTGCTGTCGGTTTAAATGGAAAAAAAAGGATCATAATAGACCACACAAAATACTGATCATGTTCTTTGCATCTTCTTTAATATTATAAACCACCTAATGAACATCGTATCTTGGCTTAGTACAAATTATTTATTCACAGGAGAAAAACTATTTTCTTCATTTTAATTTTTGAATTTAAAATTGTAATATTCAAACTAATTAATTAGGTGCTAATATACTTCATACAGTTTCTTAAATCTAAAAGCAAAAAGTATAATTGAGTTAATTTTTACCATGGGATACGCCAAAGGCAATAGAAATCAAAGTTGTTTAAAAAAATGAATATATTTTATACATAATAAATATCCCAACTTAAACATTTCGGTTAAAATTAAGTATTAAATCTAGTATAATGAACAATCAGCTTATATACGAGTAAATTTGGGTTCCTATATGGACCTATCAGACCTAGCAGGTAGAAATAATACAAAATATGCAAAATTCTTACGAGTTAAAAAAAAAGGTACGAATGTTAGTTCCTAGTTTCCTACACGATTACAAAAATGAGACGTGTAAGTTCCTAGAAGGTAAAAAAAAGGTGCTTTAGTATCTAAGTTCTTACATGACAGAAAAATATATTATAACAAATAATTACATTTAATGTTCATTCATTTTATAATTCAAATAATTTAATATTTCATATAATATTATGGCTTGAAAATTTCTCTAAATAAAGTTGTAAGCACAATACAGTTATTATAACTTGTATTATTATACCTACTCCGCACTATTATACTCCAATATGGACAAAGAAACAATCGGTGTACTTACAGTGTAATCTAGATTAGTGTATAATTGGAGTACGATTGGTGAATTAATTAATATATTATATACAGCCCCATCAGTTTGACAACTTATAATATTATATCAAATAGTGTACACTATTTTTTTGTAACTAATATCGAATTATAAAATGTATATACAAAACATAAAATATAAATATTTTTTTTACATTTATGAAATATTCATCAAAATGTTTGAATATTAAATGCATCATGATATTTTTATACTATTATTTTCTTTAACAATTATCGAATTACAAAATGTATTGAGCTGAAATATAACTGCTCCCCTTTAGAAATGTTATGTATTTATATTTATATATTATAAATAATCCATGTGTCTTAAAAGTGAAATTTATCCTTATAAGTAGTCATTAGTCTACTAGATTTTATCCTCATATAAACATTTTAGTAACTGAATAACGACTCGATTGAATTTTGAATTTAGACCTACGTTAACATTCTCAGGAAAATTTACCAACAAATAATTTACAGTAAATAAAATGAGAAGAGTATAACACTACGTAAGATAATCCTTAGGTTAGTGGTACTCAACATGTGTTCCGCTAACTGCTTGTAGATGTGCCACGGTCACGACCCTATCATATTTAATAAAAATATACATTTCAAAGTTCTCAAAATTTTCATTATCAATAATGATTATTATACTTTATTACACTTGTCGGTTTGCGGCCAAGGTATAATATCATGAAAAACTATTAGTCGTTAGACATCAATGTTTTCTAAAAATCGTGATTTTAGTATACAACATTTTTAAATTAACATTATAATTTTTATATTCTATAATACTATACAATGTTCCGTCAAAATGTTATGTTATAAAAAATATGCTACGAATATAAAAAGATTGAGAACCACTACCTTAAGTTATTCAAACAATTTCAAGAATTAGAAAATATCGTATTTAAGAATATTTAAAAATTCCAAAAATTAGATTTTGAAAATGTATTTCATTACTGAAGAAAAAATAGGTGAGCATGCTTGGTGAATCACATAATTGTATTATGTTCTAAAATTATATAATTGTATTGTTTCTGAAAAAAAATGTAGCTTCCTCTCCCATTTCAGAATTTTAGATCCGTCCCTGTTATTTACTATACCCTGTCATGACGCTGGACCGATAAATACTCGAGGTCACTGCAGCGATGTGTTACCGAACAAATTTAGACCATGTGGGGTAGGTGAATCACACATAACATTTATCTTATTCTTAGCTACAATATGAATTCTGGGTGGCCTCCCCGTTGTGTCTCGGTGGCACAATATATCTACTATACAAATATTTTTTGCCATATTATACCCGAGTGTAAAATAAATATTCGAACATGTGTTCATGTCTTTCTGCTATTCTTGATATTTTTCCTATTTAATTGTTTTGTAGATTTTTATTTTACATTTACTTTCCTGAAATTGATATAAGATACATTTTGCTAATAATATTACTGTAATTTAGTAGTACTGGGCTACAGTCTGCATATTTAATAATAAATACATGAATACGTGTCTATGAACACTATTAAACCCAGAGTTCAGAGATTAGAAAATATGTACAAGAGCATATAAAATACAAAAGCAAATCGATAAAAACTATTATACATATCGTAAGTTTCATCCACGTGTGTAAGTTGTCAACAGAAACATTTCTGTCTTGTTAGTTTTAATGCTGCACATTAATTATCTCTAAACAAATTTGAATTTTAAAAAAATGGAGCAACGTAGGTGCTGTTCTGCTGTTCAGTAGGTGTCGAGTGTACCTTCGTAATTGAGTTAGAAGATCAGTATTATTCATGACGTAGTATATGTATTACACTTGAATGCAATGATTAATCTTTGCAAAACGAAAAACGATTCTGAACAATCCCAATCCGTGAATATGACGAGCACACAAATATAAGGTTTAAACGGTATAGGTAAACGAGTAAAAAATACGGTTTTAAAATAGTAATATAATACATTACATCACATTAATGTTAGTTCAATGATCAATAATTTTATTATCTTATTGTATAAGGTCTGCCGTCAGTAATTATTGGAGTCATTAGAGTAATATTTATATAAAAAAAAATAAAATATAAAATTATAATAGTACCACGAGGTGATTTTAAAAAGGTCGAAACGTGTCGCCACTGTAAACCCTCACGGCGCCGCGATAAACCTAGCATCACTTAATTTCGAAGCAATTGCGGGTGGCTTACAATATTGAACGGCAGGTACATGGATACAACTATACGAGTACATGTTATACTTAGTGACGCGCAGACTGTACACAATATTGAGCGCCATAAATAGTATTGTCATTTACACCGTTTTGTTGATCGAGATTTAATCAGATATTTGTCGTCACAAATACCCGTAGCCAGTGACGGATCTAGTGGCGACGGAGGGTCGGCGGAGCGGCGGCGGCGGGGACGACCGGTCGGTTCCGCAGTGGCGGCGCCGGAACAGCAACGTGGCGACGTCTCGGTCGTCTTGGTCGTCGTCGTTGTAACCGTCAACGCCGCCGCCGACACCATTGCCGAACCCACCGACGCTGCCGCCCCTGTGGCCGCGGCCGCGACGGCGCCGGTCGCCGACCGGTCTTGGGAACACATCCGACTGGGTCTCCCAGCACGGCGCCCGGGCCGCGGCCGGCGGCGGCACGATCCCCAACGGGAGGCAGCTGCCGTACGGTATGTACCCCTCTTCGGCGTGCGGCGTCTGCACGTACAGCCACTGCTCGTTCTTGAACACCGCGTTCACCACCATGCCTAGTGGTAGTGCCACCTCCGTCTGGTAGTGGTCGTCCAGCTGAGTCTGGTACAGCAGACATCCCGTGCATAGCACCATCGGTATGTTGCCCGGCCGACCAATCGACGACTGCGTGAAGATATCGAAACAATTATTAATAATATGGTATGATAAGTTATTAATACAATAATTTGAGAACAGACGCTAAATGGTATTCGGATATGCCCCCCCCCCCCCATTAGCTTCCGTGAAGACAGGTTGGAGTGCCGGGCGTCCAGCACCGGTCGGGGCTCGAAGTCCCCGTACTAGAAAATAAAATTCTGGTGCCGGCACCGATGCGGTCAGGACATTTGCGGTCGGCACCTTTTTTGTGCCATTTACGGTCAATTTATCTCTATTTACCTGACTATAAAATTTGGATGCTATTTATAATGTATATAAATGTATTGTAGTGAACTTAATTTGTGCCAATATGTATACGTTTACTATTTAATTATATTTTGACTTTCCTTCACACTTTTCGAGGCTTAGGACTGACAGTATTTTTTACTTTTAAAAGCTTATATTATTATTATAAATAATTCATAATAATATATTTAAACTTTTAATTTTTAATACGTTTAAATTTAAATTTTAACACTATACCACTGTAATACTGACAGATCGAACTGTACCAAATACTACCAATGCGTATACAATTTTAAGAATTGAGTAAATATTATCGACGATGTTTTCGAATAATAATAATAAAATGTACAGATCTAATAAATATATCAGACGTTATTACCTTATCGATTATGACATCGAATATGCATAATCAACCAAATGGCTGCATCACAAATCGGTTTATCCCGTATAAATAATAATAATAAACTTTTTAAACACATTTTCATGATATTAAAAATATGTATTTAGAATATAATATTATGTATAGCACCTTAAATTGCACAGTCAGGTAAATAGAAATAAATTTACTGCAAATGGTACGAAAAAAATCCGACCGCAAATGTCCCGGAACCGAAAATTCGGCTGCATACGAATTGCGTCCCGCGGCAAAAATTCATTCCGAATTGCGTCCCGGGTTCTTTTGGAGGTCATACTAATTGCGTCCCGGGTTTTTTTGGTGGTCGTACTAATTGCGTCCCGAATTTTTTTAACTTTTATAGGTACCGATTGAGTCTCGTGTATATTATAAAAACTAAACAATATTTCCCTTCCCATTTTTATACAGACTTAGGACTGTCTGTAGTAATAGTTACTAGTTAATACAAGTAGATTAAAAATATTGTTTTTGCTTAATATATTATTTTTGTTTTTGTATTTTGTCAAAAAATTGTAACTGTATAAAAAATATTATCGTTATTGGTGAAAAATGTATTGTTTTTTTTTTGTAATTTTAATTTTATAAAAATGTTATAGTAATATAATATAGTACCGGTAAAAATGTAAAAGATAACTTTTTTAGGAATTCAAACCAACTAATTTTTTTTTATTCAAAATCTGCCATTGCTTGTTTTAAAAATTGTTCTTTTTTAATTATAGAGGTTGTGCGGTTGTTTAAGTGAATACTACGTTGTTTTATATAAATATCTGTTTGTAACCCCTTCATAGTATATCAATAAATTGAAAAATATTTGGATGTGCATTATAAAACATTGCGTTGAGCTTAGAATGAAAAGCTTCACAACTATTTGTAGTTCTCATAGTAGTGATTCGTTTTCTTCGTCATGATTATGATTAATAATTTAGCTATTATTTTTTTTTAAGTACTTGTGGAAGCGAAATTTGTACGCACCAATCACAAATAAATCCCTTTGTTTTTCGCTAAACATAGTTTTAATTTCACTCGCCATAGTTATTGTTAAAAGTTAAAAACTTGGTTTAAAAAAAGTAACACGTGTGAATAAGTGAACCGTTTACACTGCACTGCGACAATAATTGTGTTTGTCTATACAGAGAGTAACTCACTATAAAATTATCAAAGTTTTAACGTAATCGTTTTTATTCAATCTATAATAAATTGATAATAAGTAATAAACTAATAACCAATAATTTCGACTTTAAAGATATCACAGGTAATGGGGACGCAATTCAGACGTGCTCAAGAAAAACCCGGGACGCAATTAGTATTATACCTTTTTATACCTTTTTATACGGGACGCAATTCGTAAGCAGCGGAAAATTCGCACCATGCAAATGTGCCTAAATTGATTTTTTATTTTATTTTAATTATATTCGTACATTTTACTGTACATATTACTATGGCGAACCATTATATTGGTTGACACTTAACATTATTGTATCGGTTGACTCAATCCTTTTCCATGGAATATGCTTAGATAAGGTAAACCTCAGGTGATATAGATCAGCGTGGTCCAACTGTTTGTGATTGGTGGACCAATTTACACATTTATAAACACCAGCGGGGGGAGGGAGGGGGGCACCAAAAGACAAAATTACAATTGTATTCGTATTTCATTATATAACAAACATATTAATATGATATAATATACATGTTACTACATTTAAGAATACTTATTATAGTTTAGAGTTAAACTCCTTGTTGCCAATGGCCATAGTTGCCGAGGCCTTAATTCAAATAAAAAAAATAAAAAAATACTTATTATTAGTCTGCGATAAGACCGATTTCCTCACTTCATCTCCACTATAGTTTTTTTTTTTTGATCCATTACATTTAAACACTAAAATTATTCAATATGTACTCTATATGGAGGACCAAAAAATGCTTTCAGGGCCAAGGGTTGGACTACTCTGACATAGATAATTAATCAGAACGCAGAGAACGGTATCGAATAATTGATTTACAACTTGAGTTACAAATTTAAATGAAACATTCAAATTTTAAGTAAAAATTTTAAACTACAGATTAAAATAAAAATATTATTCATGTATAATATGCTATGTTAATTTATTTACAAGTCATAAGTTATTGAATTTATACAGATCTAATCAATTTCATTTATATAAATAAAAAGTATTTGTGTATACTGTATATGATACGATGTATCCTTCTGCATATTCATTTATGCATTATTATTATTACATTTGTTATAGGATATTTATTAGATTAGTTTGTAATATAATATTATGTATGTAACAATAATACAGTAAACTTTGTTTATTTCTATTAGTGAATACTAATTGATTATTGCATTCGATTTAGATAATATATTGTTGTATAATATTTTGTATTCATTAGAAAGGAGGAAGTCCAACTCATCGTGAAGACGTAAACATGGTGAACATTCTAAACAATGATTATAGGGATCGTACTAGTCGTAAATCCGTCTCGTGTCAAATAATTCAGCTATTTATTAAAAATCAAATCGTTCAAAAATCAACATTGTAATCATCTACCACGATAAAACTATTACAATACTTAATACGTATTCAATTTTGAAATAATCAAGTCTAAGTGACGTGAAAATATTTCCTACATGTATTTTATGAATTTCAAACTAATGAGAAACTAAACTTGTTTTTGTAATCCAATACTTTTTTTAGGTATAGTACTGTCTACTCCGTTGTAGAAGTATTATTTTCTAGGCTACATTATTTTATATGGCAGAGGTCATTAATGCCGATATAACCATGTGCTTTACGTGGTCGATCGTTCGGTCTAATCGTTTTTTCTCGAACGCTAACGACTATCTAAATACTAAATATGAAATAAGATGTATACCTACTCAAACGCAATATGCAATTAACCGTCATTCCATAAACAAAACAAAAATACCTCAAATAATTAATTTCATCGCGAATCTTTGCCGATGTGAAGCATGAAAAATACATCCCCTGGAAACAGGCTGCAGTAACTTTAATGATATGTATATTATGTTTATTTAGTACGTACCTACACTGCATACTGCGTAAGTAGATATTAAAAACCAATTAAAAATGATTGATGAAACTCGACGAATGATTAGACGAGTTACACATCACCTATCGTTATTTGAAAAGAAGTGGGTGCCGCCAAATGGCAAATATACAGAATATAATATTTTATATTAAAATTGAAGTATACGTGTCATAAGAATACCTAAATCGGGCTAAATGTATATTGGAATTTGCTATATCCTATGTATAAACTAAATAGACAAAACACAAAAAACAGATTTTTTTATAGAAGAAATTAATTAAATAATATATGGCTTGTTGTTTTAAATATTTTATGATGGTCGACATTACAGTACAAGATAAACTCCCAATGAATAACGATTGGCATCTTAACAAATGTAATTGTATGTCAGGCAATATATGATTTTTTATATATATCATACACATATATCGTATGGTAAAAACCTAATACATTGTAAACATATAGGTATTGAAATTTTTAAAAAAAATCCAATGTGTCCCTTTTCTACGAAATAAAATAGTTACCTAGGTTCAATATTATATCTTATTAAAATAACTATGTGTACTTATTATTAAGCAAATAAATTAATCTCGATAGGTAACGCATTCCCATTTTCTGAGAGCTGACAGATTTAATTGTTTCTAACTTGAAAGATATTAAAATAGGATGTTATATTTTAACAAAAAAAATTTAATAGCTGTTTAATGTATAAATTAGGTATTATTTAACTGCATTATTTTATTGAGCATCGAATTTAGTATTACGCATTCTCACAGATCTTTTTTGAGCGTGTTGGACTGATTCAAGTATAATGTATATAGACGTATAAAGTTGAGATATAATATATATATTAAAAAATAATATATTGAAGACAATATTACAATATTTTGTAGTAAGGTATTATTTTAAGTTATTTTACTTTTGAGAGGAAATCGTCCAAATCAGATATTCCATAGCCGTACGTCTGTTCGGGCTTGCCATAGTCCAATATGTTTGAGTGCACGTGGTTTCTCCTTTTTCTCTGAACATGGTTGTTGTGTCTTCTTCCTCGATACTCAGACGATGTCGAACCGCCGTACGACTTCCTGACAAGTAACATATAACATAAATATTATTGTAATATTATATTATTATGTACCTATATAATATTTATTATAATATATTGTTTAGTCACCGCACTTTCATAAAAAATAGTGATAAAATAGAATAGTATCGAAATGCGCGTGATACAGTGATGTCATCAGTCGGGAGGAGAGAATGGAGGACATCTGCCTCTTTCTGATTTTGAATAAATGAAGAATTTATTCCAGGTCAACGTATGAAAAAACTATGAAAATGATGTAAATATATCGATAATATGTGAAAATTCACAAAAAAATTATTTCGTTTTGAATTATTCTAAAAAAATATTAATATTTAAAAATACATAAAATCTATAAATTTGGGAATGGAAGGACGCACACGTATTTTTATAGGTAGGTATATGTTATTTGCAACGATTTGCACATGGGCATGTTAGTACAATATGTCAACAGCATAAAATTCCCACTTATTATTTTTAAATTACTTTTATTTTTATGATTTTTGCATTCCAAAAAGCAACAGTAGTACTTGTTTCTACTGACAACAAAAACATTTTAAAAGCCAAACTGAAAAAACCACCCTAATATTCGTCCGTGATTATAGCTTGGTTTTTAAAGAACTGCCATGAGAGTATTTTATATTTTATGAGCTAGGTTATTCTGTATTGTGATAACATATTTCATAAACTTACGTTTCATGAGGATTCTGTTCGGGTTCTTGTTGACAAAGATCTTTTCTGTGCAACACCCATGTCAATGTATCGTCGTTTTTCTTGGCCAGCGATGAACTTCTAAGTCCCATCAGTTTCGTTTCCCATCAGGTGCCGCCTTTAATTCTTAAATTCCTGTAATATTTGGTACATGTAAAGAAACAGTAAATAAACTTAATAATGCATTACAGATCTACAGCATACAAATGTACATTACAATTTAAATAAACATTATATATATGTATATATATGCACTTCAGCTTTTAGAATAATCATGACAAAAAATATTGAACACTTGTTGCGTTTTGAGGGTATAAGAAACTAGTGAATGCAAAGTAAGAATAATGTTTATATTCACCACTTCCGGGATTCAATTTTTAGCGCAAGTCGAGAGTTTCAAAGAAACTAAAAAGTATATACCTAATCGTCCCCACCGTCGCTTAATAAATTCTGCGAAACCCATGAACGTGTCACGTAAAAAATGAAACAAAACCTTACCCGACATGCCACGCCGACGAAGATCCAAATACCTATTATACTGACGGACTCGGAGCTCGGCGACCAGCGGATGAGGAGATCGTCTGCATCGGCACGTCACCGGTGTAATAATATATGGTATAGGTATTATAATAAAAAAAACGTATTGGACGTACCGAGTTTCCTCGTTTGCGTTCGACTCGGACGTCGGCGGTGTCCGACGGTATTGCACGCGCGACCGTAATATTATCATCATGATAATTATTATTATTATATAATATAACATATTATAATGTGTGTACGTATATACGTTTTTTTTTTTTTTTTAAATGCATAAAAAACACGCCGTTTCCATCGCCGTTGTGTGTTATCGATGCGGCTTTAATTGTTTGGGGGCGTCTTTGGTCAGGCGCTCGTGCACACTCGCACACACAAACGCGTGCGCGGGCCCGACGACGGAGACGACGTCGAGTTTCCCGTACAGACCGGCCGGCGGAGAGGCGTGACTTGACCCAAGCTCCGCAGCGTGCCCGGCCCGGGCCGACCGTGGGAACGTGTTACAGATGACCCGAGTGCACCGCCGCCGTCCTCTCGCACAACTCATATAGACTCGAGCGCACACACGTACACGCGCGGCGCGCGCACACACACACACACACACACACACACACCGTATTAAACGTGATGTATGTGCTATGTACAGGATGATTTTTTTTGAAAACTCATCACCATAATTTTGAAAACTATTACCATTTTTCAAAAATAAATAAAAATACATATAGGTTTTGGAAAATCTCACTCTTTTAAATGACATCATACATTATATCTTTGATCTCACAGATTTTGAATATTTTTTTTTCGGAGTATTTATTGCTGTATAATATCATACAAATCAAATGTTGAACTCCTAGTTAATATACCTATTTAATTATACGTATTTTTAAGGTATAAGCTGTACAAGTATATAAAGCTTAGACAAGTGAGGTCGTAGTGAACCTTCGTTTTGCGTGGTACCCCTGTGCGGCCGCAACAGTTCTCATATTATAGCTACCTATAAATACGATTATTAGCTAAAAGTTTATTACTGATAATTAGCTAACTATTTAGCGATACCCTTTTTCCGTTCATCAAAGTTCTCCAAAAAATATTTTGCTTCGGACTACGAAATCAAAAATGTATGTTATGTTGTTATCTTTAAAAAATATAAGACAATTTTAAACGATAACGATTAAAGGTCGTTTTGTCATCAAATTATGTAAACAATTTATTTTTAAAAACGCATAGTTTTTGAAAGTATGAGGGTTTATTATCAAAATAATCACCCTATATATAATATCCTAACTCTGTGATGCGTTCTCCTCCTCATCTTACTTAAATAGGCGTTTGTTAATTATTATTATTATTATATAAACAGACCCATTACAAAAATCGAAATAACAAATCAGACGCAGGATACGAGACCGGGTGGATTTCGGCTTGTGTGAGACGTGTACAATGGTACAGGATATATTATAGTAGGTGGGCATATATAGGTATAGGTGTTGAGCCTTGATCAATCGCATGTCCATGACACACGGGCTAGTTAATTTCGGTATGTACCTTAATACCTGGCCGATCGACCGATCAAGTACATTTATTTTCATTCCACACTTCATGTTGTATGACGATGACGGAGTAGAACACACCTGAACACGTCATTTTAAAAGTTGAACTATCTGAGAAAGCACACAAAAAAAATGGCCTAACGGCAGTGGAAGATCGGGCCTCGAAATATGACGGAAATAAATTAAGCCACGGTAATAATATATCTAGTAATATGCTCGTATTGAGACGTCATCATGATCTCAAACAGAAGACCCAGTCGGCGTTTCAAGTGTTTTGAGTGCAAAACTCGAGGGACAATGCCGATATTATATTAGTATATTATAATGTACACAGTGCACTGTATAATATAATATATATATATATATAAATGCTCTGTGCGACTGTGTGTATTCTAATAACCGCTACGACTGCACGAAAAACGTGCCAGACGTTTATAATTATAAAAATATACAATAACGTACCTCCAAATCGCATCGTTTGTGATAATAATGGTCGGACGATTCAGCCCCGCCCGCGCGTTCGCTGTTGTGACTCGCGAACAGTGTCTACGTGCACTTAAGAGCACGTTACACATGCAATCGTCCATAGTGTTGTCTCTGTCTTGCACACACACACACACACACACACACACAAACAGGCATATATTTAGGGTTCTATGTGAACAAATCACCCAGGGAAGTACATTAGTATAAGCGTCACTTTTTTATACAGATAAATATTATAATAATAATATAATAATTAGTATAATTATTGTTTAAACATTATTACGATCCTGTTTAATTTTCCAATCGTAATAGAGATTAATTTTTACTTAAATAAAAACCTATTGAACCAAATTTTCTCAGATTTTTTTCTTTGTTGAATTTCTTTTATCTAAATCACGGATAAAATAATAAAATATATAAATATAACAATAGGATTATGATATTATGTATGAAAGAGAAAAACCTCTTTGCAGTATATACCTACATGTCCTACATGTATGCAATATTAGATATCCAACTATTTAGACATGTACAAGGTAATGTGCGCCTCAGTGCTAATTTTTTAAAAATACAAGGAACTAACATTTTTAAAGTAATAGTAAATATTTAATTTTTGATTCTGAATGGAGCAATGAGTACATTGATATTATTTACAACGATGTAAAAATTTAAAACAAGGATTCTCGTAAATAAGTCCTAATTATAACCAAAAAATCTAAAAATATATAAACACTATTATTTTTCACAATCATTTTAAGTTCAAATTTGTACGAAATTATATACTACAATCAAGAATAACGATGTAAGTTATTTTATTGTAATTTAAAAATATTATTCGTGGATATAGTTGAGATTTTTAGAATACATTATTATATTTTGTATAGAATACACAAAATTACATTTTCAAGTACAATTTAAAAAAAAAATGTATTTAACCTACTGTAGTATTCTAATGCTTAATAGTAAAATAAATTACTTTAATCACAATTATATCATACAATTTCAGCTGACAGACCTCGCTCAGAATCATTTTTCGTATACAATGGTTATTGGATTAAATTAAATTCATCCATTACAGTGACTCTCTGGACACCTAATGTCCAGCGATACCCAATTACCCGACTTCCCTTATATTTGGTTCTAAAGAGTAAGGACACTTTTTCTAGACACTTTTTCTAGTTGAGAAAATACTCGGATTGACAACTTTGATGGAGGTTTCTGGCAAAAAATATGATCTACTTGTACCTTTGAGGTTAAGATAGAAAATTCTCAGTACTTTTTAAAATAGGTAATCGAGGAAAACAAGAAAAACCCTAACATAATAATTAGAATATGTTAAAATTTTAATATAATTATTAAAATATTTATTAGTTAACCTCAGAATTTTGTCAATACCGAGAAAATTTGCAAATTATTTTGTATTTAAAAATTCCTAAATTTGTTGATATTGATATTTAAGATTTGAAAAATGTAATGCGGCATTCTTTATAAGCTGTTATTGCTGTATTAAAAAAAAGTTGACAGCAGTGATCTCGCACATTCAAATATTTTTAAAGAACAATCATTATATAAATAATTAAATCAACCTACCGCATCATAATTAAATTACTTTAATAGCAACATCAAAAAACATAGGTACTACGAAACATACTTGGTAATATTGATTGACGACCTTCGCTCAAAATCGTTTTTTTTTTTTTTAAAGCTGAAGTAATTTATCATTGAATATATTAATAACACATAATATATTACAGTGATTTACTCTATTATTATGGCGAGGTATACTCGACACCTATTATACTGTACGGCGGAGTGGTTATTTTTTTTCATTTTCAAATCGTTTATCGATATAATATTATGATTGCTTGGATTCCGTTTATGTATTTCTATGTATTATTTAATAAAGCCAAATCAGTCGGATTGTATAAAAACGACCCAGAACAATTAATAATTATCATTACTGTTTTGGAAATGCCGATCATATAACAAATTATCCACACGCCCAAAGATAGTAATTATTTAGGAAGACACCACAGCTAAACAAAACTTAATGGGCGGTCCACACATCTAACAAATGGTGCAAAATGCGTCCAGAGTAGTTGGAAGTCGGTTAAGAACTAAGCATAATTTTACCCCCAGTTTTATTTTTATCATAATATGCCTTTTATCATATTATTCTGAATGGCCGTTATACGAGCTAAACTTTTAGACACATCAAACGGCGTGCTTGTGGAAAAGGGCTTTATCTAAGGCACGTGTTACTAGTGAATAACCGCATTCATGGCCTATTTAAATTTTAAAGTTAATAGTTCATTATTAATTATTTATTATTTAATTTGTACCTATGTGACTTTATTTTTTCAATTAACATTGCATAGTACTATATACAATATATAAATGTATTTACCTATAAGCCAATTCATACTTATTCGCCCAAAAACAGACTACATTTTCGGTCGATTCTCTCGAACGACTCGAACAGTCTACGCTACCTGCGATATGGAACATCTAATTAAAAAAAAATAAAACGCTATAAACGATAAAATCACGTCTTATCATTCACTCGATTTGCGTTTAAGTTGTCGCAGACGAGCATGCACTTACATATAGTTCCTTCCATTCATATTAACTACAGTACTTGGGTTTTAATTATAAATAAATAATCCAACAATATATTTTCATAATTCAAATAACAGCTAAAACCACGAAGTTATTTTCAAGTGAGTCGACGCCCCCCCGGTGACACCGCCACTAAAGCACACACTCGTCGGAGCTGTCTTCGTGGCAAATATTGTCGTCGGGCGATGTCACAACAACAATATGCCCGCCTGTACTACTCAACGAGCGTTTCCAAACCGCTGTTCTTTTGTACGGCTCTCGCACCACAAAGGATAGCTTATTATTATGATTATTATTATTGTCATGAGCGCTTAGGGGTCAATAATGTCAAAAGGGCTAAATTTTTTGTTATCCTGCGTCGTCGGTGGTCTTTCACTCTTTCAAATCCGCACGTGTGTGCGGCAAACTTACACAATACGTTTCTCTGTATGTTTATAATAATATGTATAATATATTTGACATTAGTGGAAATAATGTTCATTATTTGAAAGCAATCAGCTGTCCCGGCGACGAAGGGGATTCGCCGTAAAATGTGATGTGATGTTATACAACATACAACATTTTATAATAGCAAACTCGGAAGTTTATACCTATTCAAAGTCCACCTCAACATTGAGTTGGTATGTCACTGTGATATGGGCGGAGACTCGTTTGCGCACATATTAAAATATTTTTAAAATTTACGACAACTCGTTTGCGCACAAACTAGT